AAACACAATACAGGAGAGCAAGGCCCTTTTGTACGTCTCTTGCTCTTCTGTATTGGTCTTTTGCTTTTATTAGTTTTTTTTTTTTTTTTTTTTTTTTGACCCTGCTAGCACCCTTCTCCCCTCTCCCCCTGAACACAAGCCACCCGCATTATGCCTGTACCGGACCGGAAAGTTGCCTTGCATACGTTCGTTATCAGCGCGCATTATATTCTGGAGAACAAGGTAGTTCATCACGTGGTTTACAGCCTGTTTTGATAAAATCTACCATCTATGTAACCATCCACTTTTTTATTATTATTTAAAGAAAACAAAACAAAAGTTCGTTGGCCATTGGATCTGACCGGGGGCAGGTAATTCAGTTTGTCTGGCCATCCGATTGTATCTGGATTCAAACTTGGGTCTGATTCATATTTCAACAGTTCGTGGGTGTACCCGACTGAGCTGGGCTCATCGGTTAGTCATCCACATAAAAAAGCCACACAAGTGCTGTGCGACCTGTCGGCACCAAAAAAAAAAAAAAAAAAAAAAAAAAAAAAAGCCATAGATGTATCTCTGACAGTTTTTTCATCATAAGTGAATTGAACTTCAAAGCAGGGAAGATACGCCCATACACGTACGTCCAAAAAACGGCCAGCGGCCCAGCGCACCCACTTGCGGAGGATGCTCACCTCTCCTCGTCAAGTGGTCCTCGGCTATGAAGTTCAAAAAAAAAAAAAAAAAAAAAAAGGCGGCCAGCGTGTCAACCGGAGCATCTTGCTCCCTGCCTGGTTGGCGAATTGACGTGCGCTCTCCACCATCGACTCATGGGGGACTCACACGAGGATGATGGTTTCTTTGTTTTCTTCTTTTCTTCCGACTTTGGGGTCGTCATTGCAGACATGTACATCCGCATCCAGTCATAACTGCGGTCAGATGCACTTGGGAAAATGTGAGCGTGTGAGAGTCTAGAGTCCTCAAGACTGGCCATCAAAAAAAAAAAAAAAAAAAAAAAAAAAAAAAAAAAAAAAGAACATATACACATTCATCCTGTATCAGACAAGATTCGAACACAATCCCTCCTCGGCCAATAGTCACACTAGGACTTTTCAGAATGTATCTGACCACAATAACAGCCAGGGACAGACGAATCTGACCACAATCATGTCCACAGCTTAGCAGAGAAAGTAGCAGTGTGAGCACGCCCTCAGAGAATCCTTCTCCCTTCTCCCTCCTCCCTTCTCAGGGCACTTTCACAAATGCTTCTGACTGGAAACGCCGCTCATCGCGGATGAATCTGACCGCAATCGCATCCACGTCCAGAGCTTCGAAGAAAACGCCCTACTGTTCAAAATAAAAAAAAAATGAAAAAAAAAACCGTCCTACTGTGACTGTGCCCTCTGAGTTTCTTTCCCTTTTCCCTTCTCCCTTCACTCTACACCATTACCTTTTTTCTTTTCCGCTTTTTTTTTAGGTCTTTTTTTTTTTGCCCCTCCGCTTCTTTGTCCTCCTCTTTTCTCCCCCAGTGTGTAGGGAGAGCAACTACTGCTGTCCATATGTTCAATGAAACGTTGAATTCTTAAAAAAAAAAAAAACCTGCTGCTCTCAGAAGATGGAAGTATGTTGGCCTGCACATCGAAGTTTCGGACAACATCACGCGGTCCGTTTTTTTTTTTGTTTTTTTTTTTCGATTTTTCCAGGAAAAGTTTTCCGGGAACCAAAACAGAAACTACCGTATCAACGATTCCACGTAACGTAGGCGAGGTTGCACCAGCCAAGAACATTAGATTTAACGCCCAAATCTGGATGTGTTTGTGGAGAGGTGCAGAAATCTGCAATTGATCTTCTTTTTTCTGCATCTGTGCATAAAACACATCCAGGTTCAGAGAACTTCAGACGCTCAATCCAATCCTCTTTGCTAGTGGGGATGCACCCCACGGAAAGGAGGAGGGGGTAGCGGGGGGGAGGAGATGGAGTAGGACTTCTGGCAAAAGACACAAAAGTAACAAATGTAATATTTCATTAAAAGTGCAAGTGAACCCGCCGCGGCCGAGGGACGCCACTGGAAGGTGAAACTTGCGGCTTATCCTTTGGGGACATCCGTTAAAATTGGAACGATACAGAGAAGGGTAAATTAGCAAATGGCCCCTGCAAAAGGATGACACGCATAATAAGTGCCATGAATCGAGAAATGGTTGGAAAATTTTAACATAAGAAAAAAAAAACCTTACGGCTTACTTTACCTAGGGACTTTGAATTGAATGTAACTGAAACTACGACCAAATTCAATCAGGCAAGGGCCCCCCCAGTTCAAGTATGCTGTGCCCTGAAAGACACAACACACTGAGACTATCATTTTTTTATTTATTTATTTACTACGCTACCAGCCGGGCCGCCCGGGTCCCGGGTGGCCAGCCCGTGCAAGGACAAAGGAAGGTCCAAGCAAAAAAAAAAAAACAAAAAAAAAAACTATGTTATGCAGAAAAATAAACTGAACAACTTTTGCCTCAGCGTCACATCGGAATTCTTCACCAAATTTAGAATAAAAAGTGGAATTTAAAAATAATTCTTTTATTTAAATTATTTATACATATATATATTTTTTGGCCCGGCCGGGCAAGTGACCCCGGGCCACTCTGGTAGCCTAGTTTATTTATTTATTTATTTTGGAAAGTGCGTCGACTTATATTTCAGCAAAACATTGAAAATGCTGAAGTTCTTGGAAAGTTAGTGGAGGCAGGAATGGGACGCTGGACCTGGTTTCCAGTTGGTTCTGACGATACCTCCGGGTTGAATTGTGAGACTATCATTTTTTTCAGGGGCATATATGCACTTAAGTGCCTACTCACACTGGCACTTCCCTAAATGAATCTGACTTGAATTACGGCCCGGCGGGGGTCCAGATCTCCGTGGAGAAGGGGTCCATTTTCAAGTCGTTTGTGAATATGCCCTAACATTGGGACCAACTACAGAGGAGGACACTAGAAGACGAAGATCGAACTGTGTCCAACCCATATACTGCTGAGGGATAAAGAAGAATGAGGGGGATAGAGAAAAAGCAATACATTGTGACCTAGAGGGGGGATAAGACTTTCAGCACTGCAAGGGGGTTTTAACCGAAAACCCGGTCCCTGTCAGGGAGAAGATTTCCAATACCCAGGTGTTCCGACCCAATAACCGGACAAACGAGGACATTCCAGTCGTCGACAACCCTCACAATCACTCCTCTGCTTCGCAACCCCCCTTCCCCCTCCCCTTGAGACCCCCCGCCCCTTCCCCCCGCCCCCGCCCGCCCCCCCCTCTTTCCTTCTCCCTCTCCCCTCTGCACTGCATAGAAAGGAATTAGTAGTAGCAATGGGAGGAGGAAGAGAAGCAGAGAACAGCTAGGCTTATAAGAATAATGAAGGAGACGAGAGTCACAAGACAGTTCTGAAAGGCGGACACATTTTGCCTGTTTGTGGACACGTTTTAAAGAGCCAGACATGCATGGCAAAGTATCGTATATGAACTGAATCAAAGCCGAATTCAGACAAGAAAAGTGGACGCGTTTTGAGCTTGTTCTAGCTGTTTGTGGTTGTTGCACGCACTTGTCCATGTGTGTGTGCTTGTGCTTGTGCTCGTTCTTGGGCGTGCTGCTGACCTGAAGCAACAAATCAAGACGGAGAGCAGGTTCGGGAAGGGAGAAATCACGACAGGATCGAGATCTCATCGACCTCTCCATGGACACGGGCGGGAGAAGGACAAGGAGGTGGGTGAGAAGTGACGAGCTCGTACTGTTGACATGGTGTTCGCACTGCCTACCCATTAGGGGGAGGAAAAAGGGATCAGCGGTCACAATGCATACTCGCACCAGGACTTTCTTGACTAGGCTGTGGACGTCTTTGTGGGCAGATACATCCAGTCAACGTACAATTCACTTCAGGTACATCCCGGAAAGTCCTTGTGTGAGTACGCCGTCAGTGTTGGATCGACGACGTTTGCAACTTGAGGGGTAGAGTCGCAGGGTAGAGTCACAGGGTAGCGTCGGAGGGAGGGTAGAGTTGGAGGGTGGCGTCGAAGGGAGGGTAAAGTCGGAAAGTAGAGTCGCAGGGTAGAGTCGCAGGGTAGAGTCGCAGGGTAGAGTCGCAAGGGTAGCANGGAGGGAGGGTAGAACTGGAGGGTGGCGTCGAAGGGAGGGTAAAGTCGGAAAGTAGAGTCGCAGGGTAGAGTCGCAGGGTAGAGTCGCAGGGTAGCGTCGGAGGGAGGGTAGAGTTGGAGGGTGGCGTCGAAGGGAGGGTAAAGTCGGAAAGTAGAGTCGGAGGGTAGAGTCCGAGGGAGGGTAGAGTCCGAGGGAGGGTAGAGTGGAAGGGTACAGGTGGAGGGAGGGTAGAGCTGGAGGGAGGGTAGAGTCGGAGGGTAGAGTCGAACACACACGGACACACACACTCGCACTTACACACACACATATGCACAGATGTCAAAATGCCGACACATATGTGGACATCAAGAGTCCAGACTGGTTCTTGGAGAGAGAAACAATTAAAACAGCAGAGATACACTTCCCTCAGCTTCACCGATTTGCAGAGCAATCAACTTTTCCATTCTTCAGTTGTTCCTTTTTTTTTTTTTTTTTTTTTTTTTTTTTTTTTTTTGGCAAACATTCCTTCTTTATTGCGGCCGTAGCTGCAACAGGTTCCCTAGTACCACATAGTCGACGCTGTGCTGCCATGCATTCAACAACTTTTTTTTTTTCCGACTACGTAGTACGTACTATGTAGTGCTGAGAGAACATCTTCTCTTTCACCAATAAGTCGACGCACTCCTGCCACTCCTTTTTACTTATTCCAAAAAGAATCCAAAATTGAAAATCCCCCCCCCCAAAAAAAAAACACCCTACTGCAACCAGGGAACAATGTACATGGGTCGCGGCTACGGGAAACTACTGGGTACTCCACCACATATGCAGAGCTTCATCCAAGACAGAACCGACCCACCCACCGACCCACCCACCCACCCACCCACACCCACATAAAGTCAACCACTTGTCTCAGGGGTATCGCTAACTGTGGGCGACATCGTGAGTCCTTATCTATCCGTCAAACGCATCCTGGACAGACTGTCCGTCCAGGTTCAACCTCCTTAAGAGTCGGTGGAAGTCGGATGAACCAGTCTGGCACAGCCATGCTTCTTTCGTGGAGTTGTGTATAGCAACATGACAACACCCACCCACCCACACACACACACACATGCAAACGCACACACAACACGCGCACACGCACACACACACACACACACACACACACACACACACACACACACACACATGCACACGCATGCACAAGCACATGCAACACATGCACACACACACAACAAATACACACACGACGCTTACACAAACAGAGCCGTAGACTTATGAGATAACACAGAGCCCGACAGCATTCTAGTCGGGTCATCAGGTCTGCGTCCTGAAAGAGAGGACAACGAATAACGATACACAGCTCAACAACGGTGACCCCTGACCTCAACAAGTGCAGTCCAATCCAACACAGCTCATTACAAAAAAAAAAAAAAAAACCAGCTCAACTCGGAGGAACTAGGGTCAAGACTGTCGAGTCAAATTCGGCTCAACTTAACCAGCACCACGACACGTTGACTCCGGTCAGACAACCACGTCACCCCTTGTAAGTGCACTTAGGTCAACGACTCAACCGAGTCAACACATCCTCTTTCAAGTCCACACAGCCAAGTCAACGCATCAACTCAGGTCAATGGGTCGACAAAGGTCAACAGAACCAGGTCAATGGGTTGACGCATGTCGTCACGACATGGGTCGACGCATGTCCTCACAACCAATTCAGTGGGCCAGCTCACTCAGTTGGTTACAACGCAGCCACCCAAAGAAGTAGACTCGGTTGCAGGCGGACCAAGCCGAAAGGTCAACTCAGGTCAATGCAACCGAGTGAACGGCTTTCAGCTTTGGTCAATGCAGTTACCTTTGGTCAAATCAACAAAGCCAACAGAGTCAACGGCATGCGCCTTGGGTCAACGCTGACTCAACGGCTCTCAACCAAGTCCAAGGCATTGAAGCAACCAAGTCCAAGGCATTCAAGCTTGACCCAGGTTTAACTAGGGTCAAATCAAGAAAGTCACCCAGGTTTAATTAGGGTCTCAAATCAAGAAAGTCAACGAAAAAGACTGAGTCACGTATGATGACCGGTCATCTTCACCGACAAAAAACTTGGGTTTGACTTGGGTCAAATCAAGGAAGTTAGCGCGGGGCGGTCCGTCTTAGGCTTGGCTTGGCTTACATTCTTCCCTCCAAAGGTTGAAGGTCGATAACCCTTGTGAAGTTTAGTCCGGACCCACCGTCTCCAGCAGCCGCCTCTGTCGCTGCCGATGCCGCAGATATAAGACGAATGCGAACGTGACGATCAATGTCACAATTGTGGTGTTGCCTTCATCCACCCATAAATGCTTCGCTAGCTCCATCCACTTTGGAATGTTCTCGGGCAGCGAGTCAATGAACGTCATCTGCAAACATACCCAGATTCATCAGACAATGTTCACAAGACAAATGTAAGTACGGGGGGAGAGAGAGAGAGAGAGAGAGAGAGAGAGAGAGAGAGAGAGAGAGAGAGAGAGAGAG